ATATCATTGCCCATCTGAGCTGCCTTTCAGTGCGCATCAGTGCCTCCTGTCAGTGCCACCTATCAGTGCCCATCAGTGATGCCTGTCAATGCCCATCAGTGCCCATCACCGCAGCCTCAGAGCATATCAGTGAAGGAGGAAAATCCCTTATTTACAAAATTTTAAAACAAAAACTAAAACTTTTTTTTTTTATTTTATTTTTCAGTTATTTTTGGTTTGTTTTAGCAAAAAATAGGTGATTAAATGCCACCAAACGAAAGCTCTATCTCTCTAAAAAAAATGATAAAAATTTCATATGGGTACAATGTTGCATGACCGCGCAATTGTTATTCAAAGTGTGACAGCACTGAAAGATGAAAATTGGCCTGAGCAGGAAGGGGGTATAAGTGCCCAGTAGGCTAGTGGTTAAAGCGTTTTCTAAAGGTTCTTCTTCCTCCTTTATTTTCCAAAAAAAAAAACCCACGTCTATACGTGCAGTGGTTTTGCACAGATCAGGCTGGATCTTCTTCTCGGGTCCCCCCGCCGGCGCTCCTGGCTTCTCCCTCCTGTTGGGTGCCCTCACAGCAAGCAGCTTGCTATGGAGGCACCCGCTGTTCCGTGTGTCCATTCACACATGGAGACATGGCTTCGCCCTCCTTATTGGCTGACTGGCTGTGATTGACTGCAGCGGGAGCCAATGGCTCCTGCTTGCTGTCTCTGCCAATGAGGCAGAGACCTGGAACAGCCGAGGCTGTCATTCACATTGCTGGATCGCGATGAGGCTCAGGTAAGTATTGAGGGGGCTGGGGGCACTGCTGCACGCAGAAGGTTCTTAAGCTTCATGCATAAAATGCAGTAAGGTAAAAATTCTAAAGCCTTTACAACCACTTTAATCGTGTTATTGGTCTGTTGCTAATTAACCAAATTAGTTGCAAATTTGTTGTCGGTACAACTTACTTTAGCAGCTTTTTGTTGCCGTGTCCCAGCTTTTTTTGCGACGCGTTGCTGCCATCCATTTCAAAATGCACTTTTTTTCTTAATGTTAGGTTTTCTTTCTATTGTGAATAAATAATGGGTTATAGATATTTGCTAATCATTGCAGTTTGTTTTTATGTAGATTTTACATAGCATTCCACCTTTTTTGGGATTTCGGGTTGTAGAATGCAAAGATGAAAACTGACCATGCTGGGATGGTTGCGCTTCCATGCCTAGTGTGGTCAGTATGAAATGGGAAAACCCAGGGGACTGGCAGGATTACCAGGTTGTTTCATGCAAAGGAAGCAATACAGAAGAGAACAGGTTACTCTTTCATACAAGTATATAGTCCAGACATATCAGGGATATGAAATATTGGGGTGACATACTCCTTTAGCCACTTCCTGCCCGCAATGTACTGCAGCAGGGTGGCAGCTACAGGCAAAGCGACGCACACGTATGTCGCTCTGGCTGTACTAACACGCGACTCACGACTGCTGTGTCCAGCGGACTGAAGATCCCGCTGAACGGGACCTTGGCAATCACAATGTAAGCAAACCTGTTATGAATCAATCTCATTCCTAACGGCTCTGCTCCTCTTCCTAGTGTGCTGTGATTGGCCCACAGCTGTCACATGATACATGGGGCCAATCACAGCACCCTGTACCACATGTCCAGCTCCAGCCAATCACAGATCACATCCTGAGCTGTCAAAACTTAACTCATTGACGGTTCATGACAGCAAGCTTTGCATTGCAGGAGAAATTGTTTATTTCCCCTGCAAAGCAAAGTGTTAAAAAAAAAAAAAAATCCCTGATCACACACCACCCCCCCCCCCCCCCACAGTAGTACAATGTTACTATGGTAACATTCTACTATTCTGATAAACGTATTAGAAAAAAATACCTTGAATTTTTTTTTTTTTACTTTTTAGATTTTTTTTATATTTTGCAGGCGAGCTGCAGCTCTTGGCAAAGCGACATAATCTTGTGTCACTTCCTATTTTGGGGTGTGAACGCACCTGTGCCCCCCCGCTAACCCCCCCGTTTGTGCCATGTTCATTCTTCTCTCCCTGGACCGAGTTAAAGCAATGCATTTTACACCCGTTAGATTAGCACATTTAACCCTATTAACCCATTGATCACCCTGTTACCCAGCCAGTGCCATTAGTACAGTGTCGGTATATAGAATTTTTCACTGATCGCTGTATTACTGCTACTAGCAACATTAGATAGCGTCATGGTCAGTAAGCGCCCCTCAAAGCCAGGGTCAACTAGTGTTCGATCACATTCACGCTATAGGCCTCTGATCACCGCTATTGCTATTATAGTTTTTGTACGGATCAATATATTGATCACTAACTATACTAGTGCCTCCTTTGTATAGTGTCCCCAAAAACGCAGTGTTAGCAGCACCAGCCCTGTTCGCCAGCACTATCGTTTAGCCCCTCTGCTGTTTTTCACAGAAGATTTGTATCAATTGGTTGTGGGCCAAAGCAATTTATACGCACAACAATACATCCCCCCCGCCCACCCAAATTCAGCTCTTGCCAGACAGTTCGCATGGAACCCTTTAACTGTTTCTGAATTTAAAACTTTTTTGGGCCAACCCTCAACATGGGCATTACAAAAAAGAATGAATTGCAGTCATATTGTTCCACAGAGCCAATTCATCATATGCCTGTGTTCTCTGCTGTTACATATATGCCCAACATGGACCAGCAATGTGCTGGTATGTCGCTGGACTTTGAGTGGTTATACCGGGATGTTGCCTGCAGCTACAGACATCATTCTAGTACCGCTTTTTTCAGCTGTGGTCGGCATTCATGTACAAGGAATCCTAGTGTCCAATTAGCTACTGAATTGTTTTTATGAGCAGCGGGAAGGGACAAACCCTCTCCTCCTGCTGACTTCCACAGTTTTCTTGGGCACTCCTGTCCCACAAGGGAATCCGAGAATGCAGCCTGCAGTTCTGTTGGCTGACCATAGAGCTGATTAGAGCCCAAAATGACTCCAATCATCTCTATGTAGTCTAAGAAATCGAAGGCTGTGAGCATTTCATCACTTCAGTTTCACAGGATATAAACAGTGCCATTTGTAAATTGGGAAAGTATCTGATCACACACCGATCTTAGTGAGATTATGTAAGGGCAGGGGAGATATCTAGAGTCTGATAGACCCCAGATTTCTCTAAAAAAATATGACAATGCCCATTGAATTTATAGGGGATATTTGCATTCCCTGTGATAGCGTTAAAAGTGATAAAAAAAAAAATGAAAGGCACATTGTAAAAATAATTTAAAAAAAATCAAAATGGGGGGGGGGGGCCCTTGTCCCCGAGTGTGCGCGTTGACCCCACGCCAGTATGTAAACAGCATGCATGTGAGCTATCGCCGCAAACGTCAGATCGAGGGCAGTAATTCTAGCACTAGACCTCCTGTGTAAATATAAATTGATGACCTGTAAAGGCTTTTAAAGCATTGCCTATCGATAATAAAACTGTACTTTGTTGTCATTGCACGGGCATGCACAATATTAAAGAATGTCATGTTTGGTATCTACTCAGCGTAACATCATCTTTTATACTGTATCAAACAATTGGGCAATATATTGTGTTTTTTTTGTGCATTAAAATTCTAAAAAGTGTATTTTTCCCAAAAGATTTGCGTTTGAAAATTCGCTGCGCAAATACTGTGTAACGTAAACATTTTCAACATCCAGGTTTTTTATTCTCTAGGGCCTATGCTTTAAAAAAAATGTTGGGGGTTCAAAGTAATTTTCTCGCAAAAAAAACTGTGTCAGAAAAGTATATCAAAGAAAACTTTTCTTTTTACAAAAAATCCAATCTACATACAAAAGTGTCCAATATAAAAAAATTAAAGTGTCCCCAATGTTCTAAACCACATCCGTGAAACAATCTTTTTTTTTCTTCTTTCAAAAGTTATTCTCAATTCCGGAAGTCTGTAGTGATCATATACCTCAAAAAAAAACAAAAACTCAAAATAGTGTCATATCCTTTATACAAAAAATAAATAAAAATATATACCCCACACTTGTGCACAAAAAAAAAAAAAAAAAAATGTGAGAATAACAAGAGTATGGATATAGATGCATTCAACTGCGTGTCAGAAAAGGCTTGGTCTTCAAGAGTGGGTGATGTGTGCCATAAGCTTCTAATATTGGCCCTGAAATGCCAGGATAGTAGAAGCAACCCCTCCAAATGACCCCCTTTTTGGAAAATAGACCCTCCATGGTATATGCTAAGAGGCATGGTGAGTGTTTTTCAGATTCATTTGTTGCCCCGTGTATTTAGAAAAATAAGAAAGAAAACAAAAATCTGTAAAAATACTCACCATGCCTCTTATCAAATTCCTTGGGGTGTCTACTTTCCAGAAAGGGGTCATTTGGAGGGGGGTTGTACTATCCTGGCATTTTAGAGCCTCCAAAACTGATGGGTAGTGGGGCAGTGATATCAGGAAATATGCCCTTTTGAAAGCCTGGAGGTGGTCATTGGATTTTGGGCTCTCGTATGTAGCTAGGATGCCAAGTCTCTCACGTGGTATCCCCATATTCGGCAGAAGTAGGAGAATGTGTTTTGGGGTGTTATTCCACATATACCCATGGAATGTTTGGGCTATAATACATCATTAAAGTGGCAACTTTGCGTAAAAAAAAAAAAAAAAAAAAAAAAAAATTGTAAAAAATGTTGAAAACCATTTTATATTTTTTTCCACTTCACAATTGTGTGCCACTTTATGTTGGTCTATCACATCAAATCCCAATAGAATAAATTTGTTTTTGGTTGTAACATGACAAAATGTGGAAAATTGTACATGAGTGAAGAACTTGTCCCCCCACCCCTACTGTTGCATTTTGACATTTGGAGTCTATTCCATCTCCCTAAATGCATAATATTGTGATGCCTATTCATTTATGAAATCTGTGTAGGTAGTTACAAGAACTGGAAGACTAGCTCTGTAGTAAAGTTGTCTGACTTTTTTTATATATTCTTTACAGGACACCAGAACCCACATTGCTCCTGAACCAATGGGGATTAATCAGAAAATAGACTTTTCAGACCCCATGTCACAGCCGAACTTGGATGAAATAAAGGATCAGATCAAGCGTGAAATCAGAAAAGAACTTAAAATCAAAGAAGGTGCTGAAAACCTCAGAAAAGTTACTACAGATAAAAAGAACTTGGCTTATGTGGACAATATTTTAAAGAAGTCAAATAAAAAGCTAGAAGAGTTGCATAATAGTCTTCAGGAACTAAATGCACATATTGTTGTGCGGGAAGCCGAGGATCTTCCAGGTAATCAAAAATAGTGAAAGAAGATGTTTGTGTAAAACTTGATCTACTAACAAGTATAGTACATAACCTGTATATACTGTTTTTTTTCCTTTTTTATATGCATTAAGAGTACAATTTGTTGCAAAATTTTCAGCTATAATCTTGGATTCACTTTCTGTCAGTGGACACACACACACACACGCACACACACACACACACACACACACACACACACACACACTCTGTATATTCCATAGGGCGCTCTTGTTAGATCCCAACCTCTGTGGCTATAGGATAAAGGTGATGGATGGGAGCAATAGCACTGTCTATTGTCTATTCTGATCTCATTTCCATGTGTAATAACGCTACAAAAAATTAAGTATATCCAACATAACCTCAGAATAGACCAGGCCTATTCTGACACTTCTCACATATGTGTAAAAATCAGCATTTTGTGTGCTAGAAAGCCTCAAACATTATTTTTATTTAAGTGGAGGCCCTAGAGAATAAAATGGTGGAGGTTGCAATATTTTGTCACTAGGTATTTGCACAGTGGTTTTTAAAACACATTTGTTTGGAAAAAATACACTTTAATTACCTTTTTAGTGTACACAAACGCTAATAAATATATATTCATATTTTTTTTTATGATAAATAGATACCAAACATGTTATGCTTTAAAATTGCTCACACCTGTGTAATGGCGACAACCTATGGTACATTAAATTATCTTTAGGCGATGCTTTGAAAAGCCCTTGTACGTTACCACTTACACAGGTTTACATAGGTCTGGTGCTAGAATTATTGCTCTCGATCTGACATTCCTGGTGATTCCGCACAGGTATGGTGTGAATTGCTGTTTACATATGCGTGCCGGACTGGCCTGTGCATTCACCTTAGCGGGGGGGGGGGGGGGGGGGGGGGGGGGGGGGGGGGGGGCACTTTCAAACTTTTTATTTAAATTTTTTATTTTTTTTACACTGTCATTGTTTTGAGACATTTGTCTGGAAGACTTGCAGCAAGATAAAGAAGATGTGCAAAGTGCTACAATTATGACTGTACTCATGTACTTAGAGAGTTTACAATCTATGGGACAAACCGTTTTTATTTCATTGATTTACATTTTAAACAATTAAACAGCGCTGTTAAAATGTATAAACTATAGTAAATAGCAAAATTGCATAAATGTTAGTGTAAATAAGTGCAACATTGCATTTCAGTAAGCAATCGTTAATCAATGCTGCGCATAACAAATACTAGAAGTGTAAATATCAGTATCCATGCAATACCTTTTAATCTAAAAGTGCAGTGGTAATAAAACTAATAAAGTGCTTAATTCAACCACATATGTGCATCAATATTGCATAGAAAAGACTCCCATATATTCAAGTCTTATGTGCTCGGATTCCACTTAAATGGTTGAGATCTTGTGCATATAAACACTGTTATTCTATGTGCAACCAACTCCGTACCCTTCAGTGTTCCTCCACCTTTTGGCACACTTATGCTCTCTCCTCCTTGTTTGACCTATAGTGACAGGTTCAAACCACTCTCTTCCCTGTCAACCGGGCAGGTATTCTCTTTACAAAACAACTCTTCTCCACACTTTCACCATAACCTTGTTATTGTTATCCGCTATGTTCTGCAATGTCATGCAGAGAGAAAATGCTCAACATAGTGTAGTATGTACAACCTTAAATATTTATTTAAAACCGAATGGACTGTTTAAAAAGTGTCCATCTGGGAAACTGCAGTAGATAAGCTCTCAATTTTTCAAATCCAGCGTTTTGGGTCACTCGCAAAATGGTGGCTCATAAACTTCCGGTTTGCGGCTTGACGTCATCTGCCCACCCTACACGTTACGTCACAACACGTGACTTCATCAGAAGTTCAATCACGTGATGAAGTCACGTGTTTTTTAACCGGCATAACATATAATAAAATAGCGGGTATAGCAAAGAATCACGCTCCTTTTTTAAAATCAAATTTTGTGGCTTAGCAGTCTAAAATGAAGACCGTCACAGTTTTTGTTTTATCCAGCTGTATTTACTCAGTGCAACTTATCCAGCTGTATTTACTCGGTGCAACTTGTAACATTCAAGTGAAAGATATAATACCAACATGTCAATTTTTTTTAATTCAAAAACAATCAGTGAGTTGAAAAAGATCACCCCCTTATGTCAGTATTTTGTTGAATCGCATTTTTCTTTAATTGCAGCTTTAGTCTATTGGGATATGTCTCTACCTAACTTTGCATATCTAGACTTTGCAATATTTGCCAACTCTTCTTTGCAGAACTGCTCAAGTTCAGTTAAATTTGATGGTGACCATTGTGGACTGCAATTTTCAGGTCATGCCACAGATTTTTCAGTGGGGTTTAAGTCTGGGCTCTGACTAGGACATTCACCTTTTTCTTTCAACCACTGTGTGGTCATTTTACTGTGTGCTTTGGGTCATTGTCATGTTGGAAGGTAATCCTTCTCCGCATTGACAACTTTCTGGCAGAGAGCAGCAGATTTTTTTCAAGAATTAGAAGGAAAAATGGATGGGGCAAAATACCATCAATCCTGAAAAGTGCTCCAGTCCCTGCAGAACAGCCCCATAACAGGATATTACCACCTCCATGCTTTACTGTAGGAATGGTGTTGTTTGGATGGTGAGCTGTATTGAATTTCCATCAGACATATTTTAGTATTGAGGCCAAATAATTAAATTTTAGTCTCATCTGTCCAATACACCTTTTTTCCATGTGGCCACAGAATCTTCAAGGTGTGTTTTGGCAAAGCCACATTTGTGATATTGTTGTCTCATGTACACAGTGACCACTCTTTCTCATAAATTCCTGCAACTGCTTCAGTGTTGCTGTAGGCCTCTTGGTAGCCTCCCTGACCAGTTTCCTTCTTTCTCTTTCAGTTGGGAGCGACGTTCTGATCCAGGGAGGGTTCTAAATACCTTCCACTTCCTAATTATAGACTTCACTGTGCATTGATAAAACCTTTTGAAATTTGTATCCATCTCCTGACTTGTCTGTCCACAACTTTATCCCGGAGAGCTTTTGACAAAACTATGACTTCCAAATAAAAATTAAAAAAAAATGTATTGCAGGACTTAATTATAAGTGCATCTGCTCTTTTTTTAGTTTTTTTTTTTATTTGTCCCACAGATATCTTTTGAGCCTGCCAGCGAGGTCTACCTTATGCAGTGATGGTGTGACACAGATGCTGCTCCTAAATTTAGAGCTGAGTTGACAATCCCTTGTAAACTGTGTCCATTTGCACTACAATGGAATCAGAAAATATAGGAAGGGGGTGTGGTGATCAGCATTGCCATTGCTGTTTGATAAGCTTGTAGCTTGCCAATCAGAGCCTGGCCACACCTACTATAACTACTGCATTTGTTGCTGAAACCCCCCTCACATTGATCTACAGTGTATTAGGATGGGGGGGCATGTGGGACACAAATGAAGGATTCGATTCAGTCAGGTTAAAAAAAAAAAAAAAAAAAATTTAATTTATGTTGAGGATAGTACACCAAATAGTGACTGGATTTGGGGGCATGTTTAGAGTGTCATACAGGAGCTTTTCGTATATATTTTAATTTTATTTTTTTGTCACACTGTACAGGGTGTGTCGGGTTTTGTATTCTACAATCATGGAATTCTAATTGTGCTAATGATGTGAAAGTAAACGCGATACAAACCAAAACAAAATGAGGAATCAATATTTGCAGGTTGAGTGACCATAGGTTTTCTTGCCCTTTTGTGCTTGTTGCAGTATGCTGGGTTTCCTATACGTTTAAAGGGTTACTTCATCTTTCCCAAAAAACTGCTTATGCAGGTAGCGGGTGCCTGCGTCTTTGAGTAGAGTTGCATAAATGCCCTGCTGTATGTGTTTTTAAGTTTGTTTTTTTGTTTGGTTTTTTTTTTTTTTCCCCATCTCTGAAAGCAGGGTTGAAAAACTGAGATTGGCTAAACCGCCAGCTCCCACCACCACCCACCAACCCCACAAGCGCTTGATTCAAATCCATGGGCATTAGCATTGCTGACAGATAACTAACTGCAGAACTACAGCAGCAGGGTTGAGAGAGTGTATGCTCGGGATTTTTTCCAGCCAGGCATCGGGAGGCACATAAATGGCACCAACACCTACAGCAGGAGCATTATTCAACTTTAATCAAAGTTTCCCTGTTTTTGTTTTTAATCTACAAGCATCTCTTACCTGCATAGGCAATTTTTTTTTGGGTGGGAAAGAACAAACCCTTTAAACTTAACTATAGCTAATGGATTAAACTGTTGCACTTTACCCTGAGCATCCAAAAACTGATGTGTTATTGCAAGAGAAGAATTGACATTTTAATTGGACTTTATAACATTTAGCTGGTAAGTGGGTTTTTTTGTTTTTTGACATTCACTTGACCGTACCAGTTGGCCTCATTTTAGACTGGGCCATATCTGATCTACTCATGAAGTTAATAAACATTGAAGAGCTTAGATTGTAAGCTCCTTGAGTGCAGGGACTGATGTGAATGTACAATATTATACTGTATGTTAAGCGTTGCATAAATTGTCACAAGTTTTTTAGGCATGTGTAAAAAAAACAAATGCTGTAAGTTAAAGCTTTCTGAAATATGTGCAGTTTAATTTTTATCAATTAACAAAATGAAAGTGAATGAACAGATGAGAAATCCAAATCCATATTTGACCCTTTTGACTTCAAACTAGCGTCTATTCTTCTAGGTAATCTTGCACTCAGTTTTTGAAGGAACTTTGCAGGTTGTGTGGTTTTAAACATCTTGCAGAACTAACCAGATATTCTGTGGATGTAGGCTGTCTAAAATCCTTCTGACTCTTCATGTAATCCCAGATAGACTATGTTCTTCTTTATGCTAAAGAGAGTTTTTAATGACATTTGACTGTATGTTTGGAGTGGTTGTCCTGCTGCAGAATAAATTTGGGGCCATTCACATGCCTCCCTGATGGTATGGCATGATGGATAAGTATCTTCCTGTATCTCTTAGCATTGAGAACACCACTTATCCTGACCAACTCTCCAACTCCAGTGTGCAGAAATGCAGCCCCCAAACTTGCAAGGAACCTCCACCATGCTTCACTGTTGTTGCCTGCAGACACTTATTTTACTGCTCTCCAGCCCTTCGGCAAACAAACTGCCTTTTGCTACCAGCAAATTTTGATTCATCAGTCCAGAACTCCTGCTACCATTTTTTTTTCTACACCCCAGTTCCTGTGTTTTTCATGCATAGGTGAGTCGCTTAGCCTGGTTTGCACATCAAAGGTATGGCTTTTTGGCCACAAGCCTTCCATGAAGACCACTTTTGGCCAGATTTCTCTGGACAGTAGGATGGTGTTCCTGGGTCCCATTGTTTTTTGCCAGTTCTGTGTTGGCACTGTTGGACATCTTCCAATGACTAAGGTATGTAAGCATATGTCTCATCTGCAGCATAAAGTTTCCTTGGCCGACCACTGTGGTCCTCAGCGTTGCTTGTTTCTGCTTCTTCAAAAGCGCTTGAACAGCACATCAGTCTGCTTTGATATCTTTGCCTGGGAGAGATCTTGGAGATACAGTATAACAACCTTGTGTCTTGTTGCTGTGCTCAGTCATGCCATGGTATAAGACCTGTGACCTGAAACTGTATTCGACAACCTCACATTAGTAGCAGAGTTTGGCTGTTCCTCACCCAGTTGTAAGCCTCCTACACAGCAGTTTTTCAGTTGATGACCATTTCAACCTACATATGAACTTAAGGATCATCACCTGCCTGGTATAATTGGTTAATCCTACACCTAACTTTGATCCAAAAAATCTCAACTTTGTGCAAGTGTACAAAGTGGCGTCAAATCACCATAAATTTTTGCATAAGGGGTATTCACACCAAATATTGATTTGATTTCGATTTTTGTTCTGTTCGCTCACTTTGCTTATTGTAATCTGGTAAAAATAAGCAATTTTAAATATATATATATTTTTGAAAGCATTCTTACTTTACAGCATTTCTTCACACTTGCTTCAAATTTTACATAGTGAAGCTACAAAGTTTCACTTGTAATTTAATGTGCTCCAATATGTAGCTTCAGAGCTCTTGGCAATGTTTTACTTGTATGCAAGCAGCCAGCCTGAATTAACCAGATTTAATTACGTATTTGTATACATTTTGACTCGCCACCACCTCTGAATGTAATGCAGGCCACAGATGGCTCGAAAACCGGGTGTTTTTTCGTCCAATAAACGGAAAATCGGTCGTTCGTTAAACCGACGTAACCACCAATGATTACGAAATTTGGCCGACCAAGTCATAAAGTTCACCCCATATAACAGGCAAAACTTCTGTTCCTTCCAGATCACAGCTCATGCGCATATATTTTTTGTAAAAACGATCGTACTATTTGACCATCATTGACACGAAAAAGCAGACGTTTTCCAACATGACCGATAATCCAAAAGTGGAAAAATCGCGAAAACCGGCCGACGAATTAGCCCACTAACAGTGCGAAAATCGGCCGATTAATCTTTCTGACGAAAAATCGGATGATTTTCGAACAGTCTATGGCCGGCATAATGCTCCATACACAGTAGTGTTGTTGTTTATGAGCTCAAAAAACCTTAGAAAAAAGAAAGCTAAACATTAAAAAAAGCTAAACATTAAAAAAGCTAAAGAAAGAAAAACATTGATATTTTTGTGCGGCTTGTAATAGTGTTTTAGTAGCAATGTAAACACATTTAAGAGCGTCAGCATTTTGAGTGCTTTTTTCAGTACATGTGGGGGTGAGCTCAAAATAAGCTTTTAGGAGCATTAAGCTGGATTTTGTTTGTTTTTCTGCTGGGAAAAATCTCTCCAAAAAACTGTACAAAAACTTTTTTTTTTTCCTGCTCCTAAACACTGAAGCTTGAAAAATGCAACTAGCCTAAAATAGTGTGCATGGATATAAAGGATAACACTATTTTAGCTTCTAGGAGCACAGAAAAAAATGTTGTTGTGCATGGAGCCTAAGGCCCCTTTCAGACGGGGCGGATCAGTCAGCGTGATCCGCCTGCTCAGCGGGGGATCGCTCCACTGATCCCTGCTGAGCAGGCAGATGATAGGTCTCCATCCGCTCTCCTGCTGCAGGGCGGACACAGACCGTGCCCACTGATTTCACCCATTCACTGTCCATTTCCACCTGATTGCCATCTGATCCGCTGGACACATTATGCTGTGTGTAGCAGTATGTGTCCCGAGAATAAGCAGAGATTCTCATTAGTCAAAGATGACCTTTTGGTGTTACACAGCTTCCGGGGCTGTTTACAACTGTATGGATCAGTACATCAGCAGCTGTGGGGAGCAGATAATTCTAAGCAAATGCATATAAGTTTAGAGGGGATGCGAAGAGCTAGGAGACTGTTAGGAAGCTCTATATGGAGATACCCCTTTAAATTAAGTTTTGTAGAACAATTTAACATTCTCCCAATCCCCCAGTCCCTGCTGCACCTACCTCCATTAGTGATGCATTTTCACGCCACACAGCCTGGTGCAGCAGTCTTGGGGTTTGAAACCGGTTTTCCAGCATCCCTAGGAAACGAATAGAAATGCCAGCACAGTTTTCAAATGCTAGAACTGCTGCACTGGGCTGCATGGAAGTGGAAAGTGTAGCGCCAACAGAGGTAAGTTCAGTGGAGAAAAGGGGGAGGGTGTAGTGTGTGTGTTCGCCACCTCCCAGAAGAAGAAAATGAATAGGTGAACCCAACACTTTAAATATGATGGTCGTCTCTGGGCTGAACAGGTCCTCTTACAAATGTGTTTGTGTTTCTCAAGTAAGTATGTTCCAGGCTCATGCTGTTGTATGTTATTTTAAAGTCGTGTGGCATACTGCTTTGTCTCTGCCTGATCATCTTTGATTTTATGTTTTCACCTTTTTGATCAGCCATTGTCTGCCCGCTAATGACCTTCAGCTTACCTTTCTGAACAAGACATAGCTTATCTTTTTACTCTGAATAAGCTAGTCTGCATCCTGCTGCTTATTTAACTCTCTATTGATTGCCTTTGGCTTTCTCTTTTTCTTTTAAAGTTGCTTTTAAATGGAGCAACTGGCTCTGAAAGGACATGCCATGCTACACGTCATTGAACGTGTTTACTCTGTACTTACTGCGTTTTCTTTCACATTTTTTTTTTTTCTTTCTTCTTCCACCCACACATTCATTAACCTTTTTATTGCTTGTTAGGTTTACCAAAACAATAGCGCTCAACATTGCATCGGTAAACATAGTCTTTGTAATCAGCAAAAATTTGTTTAACATTTCCAGATTGTCCCAAGACACCAGACACTCCGAAAAGTGACTCCGGCTCATCAGCGCACAATGGAAGGCTCATAGCTTTGCAGAAGCAGTTAGACATTGAGCTGAAAGTGAAGCAGGGTGCAGAGAACATGATACAGACCTATTCTAATGGTCCCTCAAAAGTAAGTAGAGGTTTAAGGAATTAGGTTTTCCTTGGCCTCCAGAAAGGAGATTTTTTTTTCCTTTTGCAACAGTCCATGGTCAAATAAATGATAGAGTTCTACAGAAGCTTCTTAACATTTGTGTTTGATTTTGCTCTCCTAAGAACACTTGCCAGATACTATTTTTTTTTTTTTTTTTTTTTGAGAGATTAGTTATGTTGTTAAAGGACATTGTCACCATGAAAAGGACCCCAGCTTATTGACTTGTATTAGTATTTGCATTTATTCAGGGCTCTGGGTTTTTTTTTTTTATATAGGGAATCGCATATGTGGAATTTTAACTTTTTGTTATTAGAGACCTGAGCACTAACCAGTACAGCAGGCAGTTTAGAGCCTCTGTGATTGATTGGATATTTGACATGTCCATTTGGCTAATTATTAGAGCAGGTGAGAATACATTGGCAGCATGTGTCATGAAATGGGCCACCTAATGTTCAATGTTTTTATATATCCCATGAAGTTTACCTGTATCTGTTTGTGGGTCTTACCATTTTTATGTATTTTTTTTGTCTTCACATTAAACACATTTGTACATTATAACATTTTATTATAGGACGTTCAGTACAGTGCATGTAATAGGGGTTTTACACAGGCATCATCACAGATGAATACATATGGTGCTGTTAGAAATGTGATTTTCAAATCAGTATAGAAGGGAGCTTCAATTTTACAAAACGGCTAAAAGCCTAGTAAGGAAAAGATGCTGGGCAGACATCCTGCATGTTGTCCCAGAGTGCAAAATCTGTTCTTGGTATAGTGGGTTCAAGAAATCGGGCAGTTTGTGGTTTCCTTCGGTCTGAGTTCTGTTTGTTGTATAGTAACTAGACTCTACTGCTTTGTAGAGTTGCCCTGTTTGAATTTTTGGAACATGCATAAAGAGGGTTTTTTTTCACCTGCCATTTGATTATCCTTGTTACTTGTTTTTACAGGATAGAAAGCTGCTTGGGACTGCCCAGCAAATGCTACAAGACAGCAAAACAAAAATAGAAGTAATACGTATGCAGATTCTTCAGGCAATGCAGCAGACAAATGAAATGTCTTTTGATAATGGTAAAGGATCAAAAAATTCTACATCCAATTTTGTAAAGCAATCACATATTAAAGTGTTAGCTGGGTATAAAAAAAATGAAGGAGTTATGAGAAATGTAATTGTGTTTTTTTTTTTTTTTTTTTTTTTTTTTTTTTTTTTTTTTTTTTTTTTAATGAGGACAAATTGTGGTGCGTGTGTGTGGGGTTTCCCCCCCCCCCCACGTGTTTTTTTTGGGGGGGAGGGGGGGGCTGCGCCAACATAAGCAGTTCATGCTTGATGTTGAATTCTAAGAGATGTTTTCACGTGTGTGTGTTGTCTGTCTTGCAGCAAAACCTGTGATTAGTCCACTTGAGCTCCGAATGGAAGAATTGCGACACCACTTCAGGATAGAATTTGCAGTGGCTGAAGGTGCAAAAAATGTTATGAAGCTGCTCGGCTCTGGGAAAGTTACAGACCGGAAAGCCCTCTTCGAAGTAAGTGTTCATTGCTTTTTGGTTTATCTAAACGAATGAATAGCTTACCTTCCACTAATGGGTATGTTAAACGTGGAAGAGAATTGCACCAACACACATTGTAGTTTTTAAATGAAATGTGGATCATCTTCCCACCACCAGCAACTAGAATGGTAAGGCTCCCTAGTGCACCTTCAAAAATGGTCCTTTTTAGTTGATGGTAAAAAGAGCAAGGTCTTCTCCATGGTGATCAGGGAGCCCATGGCTCTAAAGTTATACAGTACTTGAAGCCCTTCTATAAAGTGAACCGGTTACCTTGCCCAGAAAAACTATATTAAGTTCACTTTATAAAAGTACGTTTGCTAATGCAGAGTCATACATCAGAGCTAAAGATACGTTTCCTGTTTGCTGTAAATTAATCAAACGTAAATTAATCAGTCTGCCATATAGTTTAACCTTTAACAGTTTTACCTGCCAAAGTATTTAACTGTCTATCCAGTCCTAAGATTTGCACAGCCCTCCTAGACTGTACATTCATCATGGTGATTTGAATTTTCCAGATGAGCAGTAAAGCGTGTTAATCTGTCCACCACCCGGCCTTTGATTGAACAATGAAGGATCAGCAGCAGTTGACTCCGGTGCTCTCTCCTCCTTTCAGTGTGTTCTTGTCAACACTTTTTGCATGCCACATACCTGGTTGGCTGCTAGTGATGCCCCTCCCTCTCCCCCTATGTTGCTGTGTAGAAGATTACGAGAGTACAATACCAAATCAAATTCAGAAACATTAGCTGCTTTCTAAAATGTTAATTTTCAACAAATACACATCTGTTAATTTTTTAACACACCAAGCACAAGTCAATTTAATTTTTAAAATCTCAACTCCAAGAATATATAAAAAAAATCAGATTTTTTTCCCGTTAAATCATTAAAGGTTGTTGCACATACTATTGCATGCACTACACCATAATTTATCCCTTGCTGGCTCAGGTTAAACTGGGTTTGGCGTTATTCTAGGGTGGAGTAATGTTTGATTTTAAAGTTTATTTTAGGTGATTCCCTGCCCATTTCTTACCAATATCCAGATGCTAAGGCACCCTTACAGTTTACATAGGCTTTAATTGTATACTGAATGAAGATCAATCAGCACAGTTACTAAATAGAAAAAAAAAATCTTTAGACTTCTAATCAAATTTTGCAAGCAGCCACAGAGTAAATATGCCAAGTGCTTGTTTTCCTTAACTAACGTAGAGCTAGGTATGACTTAAAGGTTCTTTTATACTATGTTTGTCCTTGGTTAACTTGTTAAAGGGAACCTGTTACCAGTATGCAGTGGAGGCTTCCATATTGTGGGTAGAACAGGGTCCCTCTGGAGACCAAAAATACTTGGTCATTGAAGTCTCTGTTTACAGCCTCCTTGACTGCTGTTTCACCAGTCATTGTCAGGTGGCACCTGTAACTAAATCATCCAGCAGTAAACGCTAAAAGTGCCTCTGTTTGTTTCTGTGTGAGAAGAGTATTTGTGTGATCTACAGTCGGGTCCATAAATATTGGGACATCGACACAATTCTAACATTTTTGACTCTATACACCACCACATTGGATTTAAAATGAAACGAACAAGATGTGCTTTAACTGCAGACTGTCAGCTTTAATTTGAGGGTAGTTTACATCCAAATCAGGTGAACGGTGTAGGAATTACAACAGTTTGCATATGTGCCTCCCACTTGTTAAGGGACCAAAAGTAATGGGACAGAATAATAATCATAAATCAAACTTTCACTTTTTAATACTTGGTTGCAAATCCTTTGCAGTCAATTACAGCCTGAAGTCTGCAACGCATAGACATCACCAGACGTTGGGTTTCATCCCTGGTGATGCTCTGCCAGGCCTCTACTGCAACTGTCTTCTGTTCCTGCTTGTTCTTGGGGAATTTTGCCTTCAGTTTTGTCTTCAGCAAGTGAAATGCATGCTCAATCGGATTCAGGTCAGGTGATTGACTTGGCCATTGCATAACATTCCACTTCTTTCCCTTAAAAAACTCTTTGGTTGCTTTTGCAGTATGCTTTGGGTCATTGTCCAACTGCACAGTGAAGCGGCGTCCAATGAGTTCTGAAGCATTTGGCTGAATATGAGCAGATAATATTGCCGGAAACACTTCAGAATTCATCCTGCTGCTTTTGTCAGCAGTCACATCATCAATAAATACAAGAGAACCAATTCCATTGGCAGCCATACATGCCCATGCATGACACTACCACCACCATGCTTCACTGATGAGGTGGTATGCTTAGGATCATGAGCAGTTCCTTTCCTTCTCTATACTCTTCTCTTCCCATCACTCTGGTACAAGTTGATCTTGGTTTCATCTGTCCATAGGATGTTGTTCCAGAACTGTGAAGGCTTTTTTAGATGTCATTTGGCAAACTCTAATCTGGCCTTCCTGTGTTTGAGGCTCACCAATGGCTTACATCTTGTGGTGAACCCTCTGTATTCACTCTGGTGAAGTCTTCTCTTGATTGTTGACTTTGACACACATACACCTACCTCCTGGAGAGTGTTCTTGATCTGGCCAACTGTTGTGAAGTGTGTTTTCTTCACCACGGAAAGAATTCTTCAGTCATCCACCACAGTTGTTTTCCGTGGTCTTCCGGGTCCTTTGGTGTTGCTGAGCTCACCGATGCGTTCCTTCTTTTTAAGAATGTTCCAGACAGTTGTTTTGGCCACGCCTAATGTTTTTGCTATCTCTCTGATGGGTTTGTTTTGTTTTTTCAGCCTAATGATGGCTTGCTTCACTGATAGTGACAGCTCTTTGGATCTCATCTTGAGCGTTGACAGCAACAGATTCCAAATGCAAATAGCACCCTTGAAATGAACTCTGGACCTTTTATCTGCTCATTGTAATTGGGATAATGAGGGAATAACACACCTGGCCGTGGAACAGATGAGAAGCCATTTGTCCCATTACTTTTGGTCCCTTAACAAGCGGGAGGCACATATGCAAACTGTTGTAATTCCTACACAGTTCACCTGATTTGGATGTAAATACCCTCAAATTAGAGTTGACAGTCTGCAGTTAAAGCACATCTTGTTTGTTTCATTTCAAATCCATTGTGGTGGTGTATAGAGACAAAAAATGTTAGAATTGTGTCGATGTCCCAATATTTATGGACCTGACTGTAGGAGCCCCAATAAGAGTCTGTGACAGCAAGACATGATATATACTTTGAATTCTTTTGGTAAATAAAGTATGGTGCAAACGTTTTAAGCAGGTGTGAAGAAATGCTGTAAAGTAAGAACACTATATTCATTTTTATCAATTTACAAAATGCAAATAGAAGAAAAATCTAAATCAATACAATACTGGTGTGACTACCCTTTGGCTTCAAACCTGCATCAGATCTTACACGTGCACACTTTAATCCTACAAAATTCCTGATTTTGTGCACGCGGACAGAGTCGGGTGTACAGCCCTGGCCAAAAGTTTTGAAAATTATATACAAATATTAATTTTCACAAAGTCTGCTGCCTCAGTTTTTATGATGGCAATTTGCATATGCTCCAGGATGTTATAAAGAGTCATCAGATGAACTGCAATTAATTGCAAAGTCCTCTTTGCCATGAAAATGAATTTAATTCCCCCAAACAATGTCCACCTCTTTTCAGCCGTGCCACAAAAGGACCAGCTGACATAATGTCAGTGATCTTCTCGTTAACACTGGTGTCGGTGTTGGCGAGGACAAGGCTAGAGATCACTCTGTCATTCTGAGTAAGCATGACAAACTAAAAGGAGGGTGGTACTTGAAATCCTTGTTCTTCCTCTGTTAACCATGGCTGCACATCATTGTGCTTTGCACAAAAAGGGATTCACAGGCAAGGATATTGCTGCTACCAAGATTGTACCTAATTCAACCATTTATCAGATCATCAAGAACTTCAAGGAGAAAGGTTCAGTTGTGAAGAAGGCTTTAGGGTGCCCAAGAAAGTCAAGCAAGCATCAGGACAGTCTCCTAAAATTGATTCAGCTGCGGGATTGGGGCACTACCAGTGCAGAGCTTGGTCAGGAATGGCAGCAGGCAGATGTGAGTGCATCTGAACGCATAGTGAGGCGAAGACTTATGGAGGATGGCCTGGTGTCAAGAAGGGCAGCAAAGAAGCCATGTCTCTCCAGGAAAAACATCAGGGACTGACAGATATTCTGCAAAAGATATTGGACTGCTGAGGACTGGGGTACAGTCATTTTCTTTGAATGCCCTTTGCGATTGTTTTGGAGGACCTGGAAAAAACCTTGTTCGTAAAAGAAAAGGTGAGCTCTACTATCAGTCCTGTGTCATGCCAACAGTAAAGCATCCTGAGACCATTCATGTGTGGGGTTGCTTCTCAGCCAAGGGAGCGGTTCACACTGGCACGATTTGGGATCAGACTTGTGAGACCCCAAGTCGCATGACATGTGAAATACCATGTTATTCAATGAGAGCTGTCTTAATTCGCACTACTGAAGTCACTCTGACTTTAGAAAAGTTTCCTGTACTACTTCCAGGCGAGTTCTATTAAAGTATATGGGTGCAAGTTGGATAGAAGTCGCCTCCAAGTCGAATCCTCATCTTTATTGATGTAATTTGGATCCAACATTACAGGAAGATTACCCAGGCATTTCCTGAAAGTTGCTTCATAGTAGTACTCAAGTTGCCTGGCAAAGTTGCACGACTTTCAGGTAGCAGTAGTGTGAACCAAGACTAAGAACACAGCCATGAATAAAGAATGGTACAAAAACCTCCTCTGAAAGCAACGTCCCAACCATTCAAGAACAGTTTGGTGACAATTCCTTTTCCTGTATGATGGAGCACCTTGCCATAAGGCAAAAATGATAACTTAAGTGGCTTTGGGAACAAAACATCGAATTTGGGCCCATTGACAGGAAATTCCATTGACCTTTTTAAAGCGATACTAAAGGTTCATTTTTTTTTTTTTAAATGACAAACATGTTATACTTACCTGCTCCGTGCAGTGGTTTTGTACAGTGC